ATGTTTCATAAGCATAACTATATGAATTATGAATATTCATTTTATCGGTTGTCAAATATATGCTTACTATCCCTAGATAAATTGATTTTCTTACTATTTGGAATTGTTCCAGACATTCCATGGCTTGCTATATAATTACACTGTTTACTTAAAATTATTTAAGGAAAAATTATATTAATTTAAGCCTTAAAGTAATTGTGGTTTTCAACATTTTCTTCTACAATCACTGAATGTCAAATATTCTAATTATTATCTTACAAATTATTATAAAATATTCATTATGCTAATAGTTTATTTAATTATTTTGTTTAATTCAAAAATTAAAATTTTAATGTGTATTTTCAAGCATATTATTTGATGTATGTATTTTTTTTTATTCTCAGTAATTTCATATTGTTTTTCATAATTTTATAGTTTTTAATAAATTTTATATAATCAATATATGATGGTATGATGAAATTTTTAACTTGAAAGATTGCCAATAGATCTAACAAAGAACTTAAATCAGCAAAATTATAATGATTATTTTCAATTTGCTAAACAAATACTTGAGCAAATAAGTAAACAGGAGAGATATCTTCCTAACAAAATTCTTAAAAGAATTAGCATTCAGTGATATTAAAATTAATGTAATTAAAAGTATTGAAAGCTAATTTGATCAGTTCATTCAAATATTGATACTAAACTAGAGATTTCTCTTGAGTTAATTTGGTTAGCAAAGAGACAAAACTAGAATTAAGTAGAAAAGTATCCAAAAAGTGGACAAAGTAAATTTTTCTTGTTGATTTTTAAAACTAGTGAGGGCTTTTTTTATTTTGTAATTTCTGTAATTCTCTAATACTTTTTCCCATATATTTTTATTTATGCAGATTTTTTTTACTGATTAGTTTCTAGTAATGATGATAGTAATTTATTATGTAGTTAATACATTACAACTAATTATTTATAAGCTATTTAATTTATTAATTTTTAACAAAAAACTTATTTAAATTTGTTAAAATTAGAATTAAATATAATTCAAATTCAAATCAAACCTTTATTCATATTAGGCTCTAGCCTGTTACACAGGGAGTTGTTATTAGTACGTTTATATCATATTAAGTCAAGTGATTAATGAATCCCGACTGGTCGCAACAAATTTGTTAACATAATTATACAGTTTATATATTGTTTCTATGTTGGCTGAGTAAAAAAAACTATACATCGATTTTTTCAAGGTATAGTCACTTAGGAAATGAATACCATATCTCTGTCTTAAATCTTTAGCCTTTTCACAACTACAAATGAAATGAAATTTTGAAAAATTATTGTTACATCTCAGGCAGACATTATTAGAATACACAAAATTTATTATTAATCAATATAACATCTTTGTTAAGTCTAAGTTGAATAAAGAATCTTTTGATGTTAAATGGTAAGTTTGTCGATATATAGTTATTGATGTAAGGATATTCCAGTATCATGCGGTACCAATCTAGTGATTTACATAAATGAATATCTTCAATATCGTGAGATAATGAACTTTCCAAAACATTCCAGATTAATTGAGTACTTTATTCTTCACTTATCTCTGGTGTTTCCAAAAACGGCCATATGGAAACCCCATAACTATTAAATACTTTAGTCAATTGACTCACCAGTTTCTATTCAGATCATTCAATAAAGATTTATAATATAATTGTTTCAGTAAGATGGTAGAAAGCTGTCCACTATCCCTCAACTTCACCAGGAATTTAATACATCTTTTTATAAACATTGTACTTAATTAAATTTATTCAGCTCCAACCTAAGTGCACTACCAGGTACTGTACATTAAACTCTAATGAAAATATTTTACGTATAAATTTATTCTGAATTACTTCTAGTTTCTGATATTTAGAGAGATACTAAATTGGAGAGGCATAAGTTACTGCATTTATAATAATAGTTAAACAGCTTAAACTGAACTTGAATATTTTTTAGCTTGATCATTGAAAACAACTTCACTGCATTGTTAATTAGCTTGTTTGCTTTAATCATGGACGTACTAACTTGTTTATCAAAGGATAGAGTAGGAGTTAAAATAACCCCCAAGAACTTGATTTCATTCACCATCTTTAGCTCTTCCTTATTAATATAAGAAGCCATATTCTTCCTGGGGAGTCTAGTCCCATTTCTAAAAATCATTATATATGATTTGCTAGTGCTGATTTTAACTTTTAACTTCATAAAATAAGTCGTCAATGCCTGAATTTTTCTACTCAATACAGCTGCAGTGGGAGCGATTATAACAATATCATCAGCATAGGAGATTGAGTGTACAATATATTCATCAATTATGAACCCGTCATCATCTCTATCAAAACAATAGTTTATATCAAAAGTGTAGAAGTTAAAAAGATGAGGAGACCAAGGGTCTCCTTGTAGTAAACCCTGATATATCTTAAAAGGTGACCACTTCTTGTTATCTTGCTTAATGATTGCATCATACTGACCAAACAACGAGCTTATAATTTGGGCCTCGGCCCAATATGGTGAAAATTATATGGCCTTTTGGAGGAACAAAGAGACATATTTTATTGAATTCATTCTGGCATTCCAAAATTATTCCTAATCCAAAACATTCAGATGGTTTTTCTTTAAAGTACCATTAATTTCTTATCTTAGTATGGAATTGTTTCTAAAGTACTGTACTTTCCCTCCTCCAAGAAGGGTACATGCTTCAGTGGCCTTTCAAAAACAAATCAGTTCTGCAAGTGAAATCTTATTAATTAAAAGTGGTTGGAGAACATTATAACCACTCCATCATTAGAAGTTCTCGGCAAAGGTATGGATCATTTAAAGGATATTTTAAAAATCATCATGTATGAGAAAAAAATTGAAACCAGACTTTAAATCTGTGTCAGACTTAATCTCTAAGAAAAACACTTTACTTTGGCAAAAATTTGTTGTTTATCAGTATTATCTTAAAATATCTAAAAACAATATATACTTTTCTGTTTTTATTTGCAGTTGATTCAATATTTTCTTCTTAAAACATACAGTACAAAAACAAAGCATATTTATGTTATTGAAAAATAAATTATCTATATATTCCTTTAACTATTAAAACATAATATTTTAAAGAGAATAAAATGCCCAGGTTTGAGTAAATTGGAAAAATATTGATTTCTATTTTTAGTTAATATCAAAATACAGTAATTACTGGTATACATAATTACATAATTACCAGTGGCGTGCTGATCTATTAATATTAAATCTATAAAATTAAATCTGTCAAGTAGTTAATGATCTGTCATTATTATAATGTTTCATAAGCATAACTATATGAATTATGAATATTCATTTTATCGGTTGTCAAATATATGCTTACTATCCCTAGATAAATTGATTTTCTTACTATTTGGAATTGTTCCAGACATTCCATGGCTTGCTATATAATTACACTGTTTACTTAAAATTATTTAAGGAAAAATTATATTAATTTAAGCCTTAAAGTAATTGTGGTTTTCAACATTTTCTTCTACAATCACTGAATGTCAAATATTCTAATTATTATCTTACAAATTATTATAAAATATTCATTATGCTAATAGTTTATTTAATTATTTTGTTTAATTCAAAAATTAAAATTTTAATGTGTATTTTCAAGCATATTATTTGATGTATGTATTTTTTTTTATTCTCAGTAATTTCATATTGTTTTTCATAATTTTATAGTTTTTAATAAATTTTATATAATCAATATATGATGGTATGATGAAATTTTTAACTTGAAAGATTGCCAATAGATCTAACAAAGAACTTAAATCAGCAAAATTATAATGATTATTTTCAATTTGCTAAACAAATACTTGAGCAAATAAGTAAACAGGAGAGATATCTTCCTAACAAAATTCTTAAAAGAATTAGCATTCAGTGATATTAAAATTAATGTAATTAAAAGTATTGAAAGCTAATTTGATCAGTTCATTCAAATATTGATACTAAACTAGAGATTTCTCTTGAGTTAATTTGGTTAGCAAAGAGACAAAACTAGAATTAAGTAGAAAAGTATCCAAAAAGTGGACAAAGTAAATTTTTCTTGTTGATTTTTAAAACTAGTGAGGGCTTTTTTTATTTTGTAATTTCTGTAATTCTCTAATACTTTTTCCCATATATTTTTATTTATGCAGATTTNAACAATCCATTTAGTTAAAATTGCTCCCTACTAGCGGCTCTAGGATGGAATCAGAAACGGTCTTGGTAGGTGTGCAGTGCATGTATGCGTGCCAAATCCCGAGGGTGCCGATACTGGTTAATGTCAAATGCCTTTTTTGTCGCATCACTAGGACGCGACAGGGTTGTTATAAATTTTAAATGTTTCTCACCATAGCTGTAAAAATCTAAATTTGTTATTAATTAATTAATTAAATTTAACAGTCATTTGTTTTCTAACTAATCTGTTTTAAGACCAGGTGTCCATGGAAATTTCCAAAAATTAACAACTTTTAGTCACTTTCATTGAACTGGAAAAATTTCTGTCTTTATTAAATCTAATATTACAAAGAAATCAGTCCACACTGAACTCAATTAAGCTTTTGTTTAAATAAAATACTGGCTCTATCAGCAGGATTTTATGTGTCCCCAATTCCCTAAGCGCTTAATTATTTAACTACTTCTTAAGTAGAAATCAGTCAAAACCAGTTACTTTGTACTCGAATATTTGTAGTCTCGGGAAAAAAGTGGAAAAACGAATTTTTATGACAACAGATACATAAATCGTAAATTTAAGGAAAATAAATTCTGGAGCTTTTTCTGTACCTCGTGCATCTCTCTCATTCATTAAATTTAGTTGTAAATGATGCTGTCAAAGTAACAGTTAATGTTTTAACATGTACAATTCTTGGGATATATATAGGATTTATGAAATCGTAATCAATACAGCTGCAGTGGGAGCGATTATAACAATATCATCAGCATAGGAGATTGAGTGTACAATATATTCATCAATTATGAACCCGTNTATTTTTATTTTATAGAGAAGTTAAAAAGAATCATCCTGACATTTTATTTGGAAAATCCTGTTATGATTTACCCATTCAAGAAATAAGTGTGCTATCTAAAAAAGTTCTTTCTGCTTACACAGGACCTGTGGGTGGTCTTACACAAGTTAATAAAAAACAGAGAGCATTTGATTCATCTGAACCTGATGTAGATTTTATAGATGAAGATTATGTTGCAAGCTGTGACAATATACCAAACTTAATTACAGATGATGATAAATTATCACAGAAGATTGGAACACCCAAAAAAAGTAATGAGAGTAAGAGTAATTCTGAAATATCAGGTAAATTATTATTAATGTACTGCCAATTCTTTTCATAATAATTGAAAATTATATACAGTTGACTTCCATAATACAAATTGCTAGGGGAACAGTATTTAGTTTGCTTTATTGAAAATTTGTATAAATGATTTTCAGGTCAAGGTTATATAATTTAGGGAGTTAAGACTTAATAGGCAGTCAAAATCTCTAAATTATGAATTAATATTTTGAATTAATTTACTAAAACAAGTTAATGCTCTAAATAATTTTCAAATTAAACAAAATTAGGGGGTGACACTGTTTTGGAGCAATATATCAGAGTGGTTAAACAAAACTAAACTAAAGGAAATCTGTGATTTTTTTTCTGTTGAAGATTGTTTGAAAAGGTAGAAAATATTTTTTGATGCTGAAAGAGTAAAAAGAAAAGAAATTTGGTGCAAAGTAGCCAAATATGGCATCACTGTATACATTCCCCAATATGCAAACCAGCAAGTGTTTGCATGAGACCACATCTATTTAAAGGGTTGGCATCCTTAACCCCTATTTTCTGAGTACAGTAGAATGGTCTGTTAAAACTAAATGTTTGAATTGGTCTATAACCAAAGGTCAAACACAGCTTTGCTTACTAGAAGAAGAAAATGTATTCTACTCAAAATGAAATATTTATTACAGTACTAGTTTGCTTTTTACACTTTTTGGCATGAACAATGAAATCGTTATTGGAAATTGGGTTACTTTTTGGGGGTCATGAAGATAATTTACAGTTCATTATATATTTTGTCTAAGAGGACTTAGCCTATTAATAGGATGTATTACATTGGTGTAAAATGCCCTATTAATAGGCTAAGTCCTCATAGACAAAATATATAACAAATAGAAAATAAGAATATAGAGGCATATAAATTAATTTACAGTTCCATTTAATGAATTTGGTAAAATTTTTTTGCTTTATCATGTGAAAATTAATGTGACAATGACATTTGGACAAGTCAATGGCAAAATTCACTTCAATGTGAGAGTTTGCTTTATCAGTGCTTGTTTTAAGAGGATTTAACTGTTTTAATATTAGGGGAAAATAGGAAATAAGTTTTAACTGTATTACAATTTAAAATTTTTAAATATAAATTGGCACTTCAAGTACATATAATTTCTTGATATTTATAGAATTGTTTTATTTAAATGTATTTCATTCTGTTATCATTTATATTATACTAAGACATGTCTACCAGTATTGATATTTTAGCAATTGACCAACAGTTTTGACAATTTATTTTGATTTGATTCATAGATTTATCTATTAATGTTTAATTACAGTTATTTTTTTATTTTTCTTCACGACTAGGTGCATTAATAGACACAAGGCATTTTACATCATCTTTATTTTGAGTCTTCTATAGGCCAATATGCATTTCAGCCTATAGAAGATTCAAAATAAAGATGATGTAAAATGCCTTGTGTCTATTAATGAACCTAGTCATGAATAAAAAAACAAATAAAGAAAGACATGGTTTTGGAAATACAGTAGAACCTTGATTATCCGGATTGTTCAAAATAAACAAAAATTTTACGAATTTGCTGATTTGCACTTGGCGAATTATGATACTGTTTATGTACGTGATGGAATGCATAACTTTTTTGTTTCAACAACGTCTCACCCAGTACAGTGGCCATAAACTCTTAAATATATTTTGCGTCGTAATAAAAATATAACTTGACATACGTATTTATAAATAATTTATATTCAAATTACATCATTTCTATGACCAAGGGCGGCGTAAGGCATGGACGACGTGGGCCACCGCCTATGCCTCGCGGTCCGAAGGGCCTCGCGCCTCGAAGGTTTATGCATTACTTAAAAGCCGCGAACGCGACGAAAAAATTTTACTCGTCATAAAACGATAAATAGTTTGTCAAATTTTTATTCATAAAAATGCAGTTTCAACTGCTTTTTATTTTATAAAATCCGTCTTCTTGCGCTACCAGAAGGCCTTTTAAACAATAGGTAGTCTGTTAGCGTTGATCAGTAGTAGTCCAAATTCAATACAAATGTTTGTTTCTTGAAAATTTGATCATGGTTAAATACAGTATTTACTTTTAATATTATCGATATGTCATCGAAAAGAAAACGTGTTGTATTATCATTAAAAGACAAATTAAAGTGTTTGTTTTGATTATCCGAATTTTTCCTTATCAGGACTACCTTCATCCCCAATTAGTCCGGATAATCGAGGTTCTACTGTATATAGTTATTTTGTTAATGGTAATTTTATTCTAAAATTTAAAATTGTTTTTAATCTGTGCTTCAAAGGTTAAATAAAAAGACAGAATTTTATATTTAATCAAAATAAAAAATCAGAAAAATAAATATATATAATTCATTGAATGCACTGCTTACCAATTCAAATTCATCCTGTATGATTATATCAAATTTCTAAACAACTCTGTAAAATTATGAAAATCTCTAAAATCAGTTTTACGGTCATTTAATGATGCATATAAGGTAGATTATATGAGTGATTCAATAGAAATAGAATTTGTCTTTAAGTACTTTGTATACTTGACATCAATACAAACAAATCTCCACCAGCATTAAGGGGTGAGGCCCACTGATTCGTCAAGCAAAAATTCCTTCCTGGAAGACACATGTTGGGTGGTGATTGAAAAAGTCCCTAACAGCTTCCTTTATTATCTGACTGAAATGTACAATCTTTAGAATTTTTTTTAGCTGTCCAAAGATTTGGAAGTCACAAGGGAATAGGTCAAGACTATATGGATGATGGGTGAGTTGTTCCTAATGCATGTTTTCCAATTGGTCTTGGCAATGCTTTCTGTATGGGCATGGGCATTTCATGAAGAAGAATGACTCCCTGACTTAGTTTACCAGGCCATATGTTCTTAATGGCATGTGCAGGCAATCAAGTGTTCCAATGTCTCATTAAGTGTTAATGGTTACACCTGGTTGCTGAAACTTCACTAATAATGGTCCTTCATGCTCAAAAAAAGAACGTCGGCATAACCTTATTGAATGAGAGTTGATTTTCATATTTTTTAACAATGCACATCATACATAAAATAAGCCCAAGGACTGACACTTGTATCAACATTGATATTAAATATAAACATCATTTAACCTAATTTTTAAGATTAACACTAAATGATTGCTGGATTATATTGGGCTATATTGATGCTGCTATTAATTTAATAATTAAATATTAATTAATTTGGCCTAGAGGTAGGCATTAATTGCCATTTTTTGATAAATTTAATAATTATAATTAAATTGATATTTAATAGTTCTAGAAGCAAAAACCAAACAGGTCTGAGCAATAACCAGCAATGTCTCTTCATGGTAAGTGGGAGTTGTAGGTTCGAGTCCCACTTTGGGCCAATTTTTTTTCTTCCAGAACCCTCTATATTAATTATTAAATATTAATTTAATTATAATCATTAGATTTATCAAGAAATGACATGTAATGCCTACCTCTAGGCCAAATTAATTAACATTTAATTATTAAATTAATAGCAGCATTAATATAGCCCAATATAATTCAGCAATCATTTGGTATTAACATTGATATTATTATAATGGATATTGTATGTCAGTTTAATTATTGCTCTTTACATATTGAAAAATTATTATTTTTATAATTATAATTTTATGATTAAAATAAAGTTATTAAAGCTAAATACGTTTGTGTGCTGTAGTTGAATGTTACACACATACTGTCAGGACCCATGCAACACTTACCTTATTATGATGACAAGCCTTATTTAATCACAAAACTTATTCAGTAATTTTATTATAAAATGCTTGCTTTCATTATACAATGACATTTTTACTGTAAAATTTATTTCATAAATTTGCTTGTCTCAAAGACTGCACTAAAAATCATTGACACATCAAATAAATTTAAAGTATTTGTAAAATTTACTGGTTTCAATTATTGTAACCATTGTTTGCTACATGTGATTTAACATTGATCATACTCCAAAAACAAGTGTTTATAATTTCATTTCAACTCCAATTAAAACATATTGTCTGACTGATCTATAATTTTCAAAAATCTGCATTATATAAAAAAGAACATGATCATGAGATTATCAGTTTTTATCAGTAGTTTTGTATTGTCACCATAAATTATCTTTGACTTGAATTCATAATCCTTCAAAACAATTTCATAAGGCATCTGTTGTATTTGATTTTAGTTCATTCTACATCAGGTAAATTACTACCTTTTTATGGATGTGTTTATTTATGTTTTATGGATGCATTTCTTATGTAAACTGTATATTGATACACTCGGTTTTATCAATATTTTTCGTAGAATTATAATTATCTTTTTAATTATTTTTATCCCCTTATATTTCAAAGTACTTATTAAAATGAAGCAAAGTTTCAAAATAAATTGAACACACATTTAATGATTTTAATAAATCAATAAAATATTTTTTAATTTGGTGAATATTTTGTTTATAGTAAATGGTGATTGCTTACCATCTCAGACAAGTGAAGAAAAGAATTATTTTCCTGATGATAATGAAGAAATTGCTGGCATAAAAAATTGGAACCGACCTTCTGATTATGCGTATGGTATTGCTACAACTCTGTATGAATGCCATCCTGTTACAAGAGAAAATGCAGGTAAGAATTTGAAGTTTTATTTTATTTTAAATAGAAACAAATAGCACAATTTTTATATATATAAAATCTTGTATTCAAAACCTTGAAACCAAATATAAAGTTTAGATTTTAGAATGACACAAATAAACTTTATTACTCGCAGTAAGAATATTTATTTGATATTTTTTCTTTATTTGAAAGGAGGAACTTGTGCTATGATTAATGAGTAATGTTTTGTTCTTATTGCTGTTATTTTTTGGTTATCTGGAAGTCTTTGATACATTTTAAAATGAATTATGAAAAGCGAAAATTATGAGAATAAGAGAAGTGCGTGTGATTTGTTTGGAATGATCATTCACAAATGACACTTAAAATCTGCAGTGGATTGCTTTTGGCTCAGATAATTTTTATTGTTTACTTCTTTCTCAGTTGTTATATATAACAGGGAAGGTATGGTTATCGGTCAAAAAATGACCCCCTCCAAGATTTTAATGTTTTTGGACTTGGAGGACCTTGAAACATCAAGAAATGCAAAAAAATTTGGTGGTAATTTCTGTATGTATGGATGTTTGGAGGCACAATTTTGTTCACTCTCTTTTGAAGCTTAATTTAATAACTCCTGTTCTTTTTGTTGAAAATTTCTGAAATTTTGCAGAGAGGTTTGTTTATTAAAGGGATTGATGCTATTAAATTTTGATTATTAAAGGTACAAGGGGGTAGGAAGATAAAGGCGGTCCTGTGTGTCTTCAATAGGTCAAACTTAATGACTATTTTACTCATTATTAGCATTTACAATTTTTTATAAAACCCATTCCTACCAATCAATTATATTCAATTATTTTATTAATGCATAAAGATGCATGTCCAGCACTGTCAGGCATAGCTGGAATCCATCCCTATCCTCAGAACTAAGTTTTTTTGCAATTGTATTTATAATAATAAAAAGTTTGTATATTTTTAACTAATAAAATATCATAACAGATGGTGCCACTAAAAGTTGCTTGAAAAGTTAAACAACTCATTGCTGGAATATTTTTAACTTTTAAGAGAGTTTGAAATCAGAGTTAAAAGAATATTGACTTGTTATAAGTATGCAAATTTCATTTGCACTAATTTAATGATGTGTATATATATTTATAATGTATTATTTATATATACATATATAATGTATATAAATACAGTAAAGCATCGATTATCCGAATATTGATCAATCGAAAGCTTTCCAGTTGGCAAATTTAAATTCCTGCTAGTGCTATGGCACTGCAATCTTTGGCTATGTCTTGGGCTACTTCAATATTATTTTTGTTTGTGTGCATGTTTTAGTTGGCAGCACTAGCATGACCATGAGAGGGTACTTAAGGATGCACCAGTATTTGAACGAATTTCAACATGGGATAGGTTAATATATTTTTTTGTATATAATCGGTTATCTGAAAAATCGATTTTCTGAACAACCCCAGTCCCCAATTGATTTGTATAATCATTGCTCCACTGTATATAAATACTAGAAGTTCTCCCATCAAGCGTGATGGAATAATTTTTATGAAAAAGTAGAGATTGAGGAATGGAGAAGAACTTCAAGTCAAGCTTGACATTGTGATGCTGTTTCTGCAGCCATTGACAAAACTATTGTTACTCAATGTTGCTCAAGTCGAACTTCATGGCCTTCAGGGGTCTCTGTTGTTCTTATTCCTTTAGATCTAGAATTTACCTGGCCAATTTTACTCTTATGCTTTCTCCTAGGCATTTTTTTTTTCCAACAAAATAGCAAGTCAAATTTTTCTTCAGGAAATTGTTTAACTGAAACTATATTTATTATTATTTATAATATTTTTTTATTATATATTTTCTTATAAAAGACTGCTTTGGGACTCCAGTCAATTGCACTTTTTGCCTAAAGGATAACATGCCACTGGGTTTTGATACATGATCAAAATGCAGAAAGGTCATCTGCAAAAAGTGCATGATAAACAGTTGTGTCACTGTACTTTGTATCAACTGTGTCAGCTGAAAAACTTTTGAGATATCTGTATTGTGTTATATTTAACATTGTATTTATATTCACTATAATTTTATACAATAACTTTTTGCCATATCTTCTTTATATCTGAGGAAAGTGTACAAGAAAAAATAAATTTTATGATAGATAATCAAATATTTTAATATTTGTTTCCATAATTGCTAACTAGCCAATTCAAAATTAAGATGAATTAAACTACATTAAATGTTAATAAAAACATTAGCAATACATTTCATCTAACTATTTCATTAAAAAGATGAGAATATATTAAATTTTTCAGATATCCCCTCAGCTGTTTTAAGGTGCTTGAAAATAGAACTATTCTAGCATTAAATACTCTTTAAATTGCATTTTGATATTGATTGCTTTTTCAAAATTTTATAAATGATAAGTTTTATTGGATAATTTTGTAATAGCATATTCAAATATAATGTTTTACTCTCAATTAGGGATTGTAAATTTACCGACTTTTTCATTTACCGGTAATTCGGTAAATGAAACTTAAAATACAGGTTTACCGGTAAATTACCGGTAAATTTTTTTCTTGAAAAATAAAATTAAGGTGATAAAAAACATAAGTCATTATGATTTCCATTTCACGTATTTTTATTTCAAAGATATCAAATACAAAAAATATAAAAATTAAAGTATTATTCTAAACCAGGGGTCGCCAAAGTGGTCGATATCGACTCCTAGGGGTCGATGCAACATCATTGGGGGGTCGATTGAGGGGTCGATGCGGCTAAGGGGTCACAACCTTTTATTTTGCTCATACACATACACTTGTAATAAAACTTTACGGTGGGGGTCAATGTGAGGCTTTGGAAAGTGGTTGGGGGTCGACGGTTAAAAAAGTTTGGCGACCCCTGTTCTAAACAAACTATAATAATAAATATAGAAATAAACAGGAATAAAATAATACAGAAAAATAAAAATACAATAGAAATAATATGTAGTACAGGATACCTAATACCATTTTATTGATTACCATTTTTAAAAATTTAACTTCTCAAGAAACTTAAATTATTTATAGTCTTATCTCCTAATTTTGATTTTAATTTTTGTAAAAATAATCCAGATCCCGAGAATACCCTTTCTGATTCAACACTTGTTGGACGAATGGTCATTAAATTAAAATTAAACAAAAAATATCTCACATAAAATTAATAATGAGGTATATTGTTGCTTACACTTACCTATTATTTTTTTTTTTTCAATGTCTCTTTACCCGTTTTGAATATCTATAAACACAATATTTTATACATAGAAATTTCTAGTATGGATTTTTCATTTACCTAATTACTGGTAAATTTTTGAAATTTACCGGTAAGTTTACCGAATGTTTTTTTGTCAATTTATCGGTTAACCGGTAAATCGGTAAATCGGTATACAATCCCTACTCTCAATGTTATATGATTGTTGTATTTGTTTCTACAGTTGCAACAAATTCAAATGCTTTATAAACACATAATAGATTAAGTTAACTATCTAAGCTTATTATACAATCATAATTTCTGCAAAAAAATTATAGGAATTATGATGTTTAATATTAATAAACTTTCCAGAAAATAATTCACTACATTTGTTCTTATTGGGCTATAATTTGAAAAAATTGTAGATCTATAAATTCCCACTGTCATCTGGCTGTCTTTCCTTAATCTTAAAAAGGGAGTTAGATAGATAAACATTGAGACCAGATACAAATAGCTTGGGCAGGAGGTCCCAATTAAATATATATGAACTTTCAATAAAAACCAAGTCACATTATTTCAATTCCCTGAAAACTTTCTCTGAAAGTAGTTAATAGATGATCAACATGACTGTTGCTAAAAGGAAAAGTATGATATACAGGAGCACAATACCACTAATTGAGGTGGACAGCATATATTTTAAATTAAATAAATTTTAAAAAATATGATAAAAATTGCATCCCAGCATTATGATGATGTCACAATACTGTAAATAGTTGCTTTATTTAATTAATTTATTTATTTTTTGTATGTGTCTTTGCTTTATATTTTGACAATGATGAATTAGATTGGTCAAATATCTAATACATGTAATACAATGCTCTGATGTGGAGAATATAAACATCTTTGGTGGTAATATTTCATTAAGTTATCATTGAAATAATCACTGTTATAAATGATTGGATAATTAGGATGATTGCAATAATAATAGCTGTGTGCATTTGCTACAGAAAATGTTGACTGACTTTTATTGTTAATACATCAATATTTATTCAAAATACATGTTTGTGGTCATTTATGAAAAATTCAATTCAAACTATATTTTTATGTCCATAAAGTTAAAGGTCAATACAAAGAAACTATACATCATACAATTTTTAACATTAGTTTTCTATTGTAAAATATATGTTTATGTAAATAAAGTGTTTTAGGGAAAAAGTTTGTTAATTTGCCTATTTTGTGTAAACATCAGATTTTTTATTGTAGATTGTAGTACAGATATCACTGTGTGCTGTGTATCTTATAATATAATCGAGATGGATTGATAATGATGATAATAATAATAAGTGCAGAGCCCAAACATTTAGGAGTTAAAAGTTGAAATTTGATACACAGTTAGGATATGTCATGAGAATGTACACTAAGAAGGGATTTTCTGAAATTTCCCCCGCAGAGGAGAGGGAGAGAGTTATGGATTACCCTGAACTCGGATTTTACTGTACTATTTTAGATGGTTTTTTCAGGAAATCAAACATATTTTTACACCCATCTAATTCTCTAAATTCTCTAATTAGTCTTGGAAGAGGGTGAATCTAATTTTTGCACCCAGTAAAAATCTAATAATCTTAATCTTTGCTATTGTTACTTTTTGCCTGAGCAATGCCAGGCTCATCTGCTAGTGTTTGTATATGGGAAAAAGATTTTGAATATTTGCTACTATTTCAAAATTTAAGAACAGAATTTTCATAGTATAAAGAAATGTTACATCATGTTAAATATTAAATTTTATAAAAATAGATTGTACAATTTGATATTATTATTATTATTATTATGTGTTGGGTTTGGTGGGTTATACTCGGTACACACCGGTGGCTGTGTACTATGCCGGACCAGAGTCAAGGCATAGCAACCAAAACAAAACTAAAATTAAATGTGTGTGTCAGTGTCTGTATTAAGGAATTTCCTAACAATATGGCATGTATTCAATATAGTGGCCTTCTGTAGTGTGATGTATGTATTTCTACNCATACATCATTAAAGATTTATATTTGCTTTAATTATGATTTAATTTCATTACTTTAGAAAAAGACAGAAGCAGAAATTAAATGTATTTTTCAAAGTAGTACTTATTTTTCCAAATACATAACTTTCAAAAGATGGTTATAATTTATATATTTTAATGAATTTGAATAATTTAAATATTTTGCAATTTTTAATTACAAAATATATTTAATTATGTTAACAATTGCTACTTTACAACTGGTTAATATTAGACAAATTCCCTCAATCTTGACAGCAGTGTCTTGTATGACGATGCCCATTTAACACGAGCGAAAATGTTTGCACTTTGTGTATATTTTATTGCTGGTTTGTTAGGTTTTTGCAGTGTTTATTTTTGTCTATATTTAATTATATATTAAAGGTATATAATATCTATAATATATAGTAAATAATTATTATTAAATTTATATTTAATTATTTTTATTTTGAATAATAGTTAAATATTACAATTATTTGTACATTTAATTAATATTCTATTTTCATATCCAATATTTTTTACAGTATCTATCTTTTATTCATAATATTATGATGATACATAAAAAAATTGTTTTATTGTGAAACAAACATGGGAAGAAATTAAATATTGATTTATCTTATTTTACTTTGTGTAATAAATATTTGTAAAGAGCAATTATTTATTGTGACATCGTCACAATGCCAGGCTGCAATTTTTAATCAAATTTCAATATTAAAAAATTATGTCAACAATTTTAGATAATTGTTTGATAGACTCCAATGACTGATCTTTAGAGCTCTACATATACTGATTGTATTAATGCAAACTATCAGTAAAATTTGGGTACAATTATTTTCCAACAGTTTTCAGTATATATAGTCAGCATAGTTATATACTTTCAAGAATATCTTTTAAGAAAATATGTTAAATTTTTAATTAATGATTTAATGATACTATAAAATTTATTGCTGTTTACAAAAAAAAATAATAATGATTTAAAATGTAGGATAGGTTTGCTTTCTTCTAACTTTTATAATCAGTAATGTAATATTACATTTTTCTTTTTCTTCCTTTTATCAATGATTACATATAATATTGAGTGTTTTTTTATGTTTTAAATTCCTCTAAGCTTATATTATTAGTAATTAAAATTGAAAACTGAATATTATATAGTTGTAGCATCAGGTAATTTTTGAAAAATTTCATAAAAGAAATAACTTTATTATATTTGTGTTTTGAATAAAATGGATTTTTTATTTTATTTTGAGCATTTTGGTATTTTAATACAGGAAACTGTTAATAATTTTTATAATTTAAGACTCATTGAAATAAATAAATTGTTAAAACTATAGTAATTTTTATAGGTAAGCATTATATACACACACAAAATATGGTAAATATTAAGTTTTATGTTATGCTTTTAGGTGATCCTATTGCAGATTCATTTGCTGTTTGTATGAGAGAAAATAGTGCCATATTAGCTTTAGCAGATGGTGTCAACTGGGGTGAAAAGTCTTGTTTAGCTGCTAGATGTGCTGTTCATGGTTGCATGGATTATCTCAATAAGGCTTTATATCGTGAAGGTGGAACTATTGAAACTACATTGGTATGAATTTTATATTATTTTTCATTAAATTACATATAGTAATTCATAATATTTAGTAATATTATGACAAAAATAGAAAATTTCATTAAGGAAAAATTGTTCAGTCGGGTCAAGGGAGGAATAATATGGGCCATTAGAATTCTAAGAGATGTTACACATATTGAAGTCTCCGCATAAGATAATTTTAATGTTTTGGGATTCAGAAAGAGAGATAAGATATCTATGTAAAATTTTAAAAATGGAATCTCTTTTATTATGGGGGGCATATATCTAAATGACTATTAGATTATAAACAGAAAGTTTGATGGCAAGGATAGAATCAAGATATTCAAATACTTTTACAGGTTTGAGCAAGGGGGGAAATCAAAAATTCCACCACCNAATTTATACCTACAGCAATATAAATATAAAACAATGCATGTTATAAATTTATTTAAACCTGGCTTTTAAAATTTTATCTTGAACTATTATTTTTTTTCTTTTAGAACATACAACCCATCTGCATTTTTTTTGTAAAATGTAATAATTTCAAGTGACAGATAGAATAATGTTTCTTGTTCAGTACAATAATTCTATGCATCAGTATGGAAGCATTTTAAACATATAATTTATTTAACATAATAAACAAATGAAAATATTTCTCAACTATATTTGATTATTGAACTTAAATATTTTATGAATGAATGTTTGGGCTTTTTTAAATAATATTTGATTCATTATCTATGTATTTTTGACAAGTAATTACATATTTGTAACAAAAATATATAGTTTTAAATAGGCATTATTTATTTTTACAAGATCAATTAAATGCTAAATTTCTAAGGAATATGAGGACTCTAACAGCTCCTCAAATTCCTCATTTAATACAAAACAAATTGGAACTTGAATGGTTCTTGAATTATCATATTCTAACATAATGGCTGAAATTATTTTGTGACCTACATACTCTCAAACGTCAGCAGTGTAACTCATACAAAACACTGACCATTTAAATATCTTAAATAAAAAGTCTAGCAAATTCCTGGAAAAAAATTATAAAAATATTGTGTTAGGATTTGTAGACAATAGGTCCAGAATAACTAAAATTGTACATAAAGCAATGTGTCAGTTCAAATAATATAAAAATAATTAAATTTTGTAGAACTTTTATTATTTAATATTGGAGTTTATCAGCCAAACATAAATGGAACAAAAAAAAAAAACTTTTAAACAAGAACAAGGTTTTTAAATGTTTACAAAACTGTGTAATAGAAAATAAAAACATATTTTTGTTATTTTGGATATTTACTTGTGCTTGTTTTGCTACAAATATCACAATACCACCATATATGAAAATAAATATGAAGAAATAAAACTTTTATTTAACAATGTAAGAGTTAAATCTACAGAATCTTGTTTTCACTAAATGGGAAATGACATTACAATTTTTAATCTCTTGTCTTATAAGCTTTAAATGTGCAGAATAATAATAGTAATAATAATATGGTAAAATAATAATGTTGAACATAAAAAAAAAAACTGAACTAAACTTCTGAAGGTTCGAAAGCTTCATTGCTGAATGCACTTGGCTAGCACCACTCAGAGATATGAAACTTCCAGACTCATAAACTAAATACTGAATTTTCAGAGACTTGATTTTTGAAAACACATGAGAAGTGAGTTCTATTATTTTGACAAAAAGCTGTTTATGTTTAAGGCTACCTGCTCACCAAGTTTCATTCAAAACAGAGACCCAAGTTTCTGGCCCTCTGATTGTAAATGACAGCTTAACATGCACTTTTGCTTATCACATGCCAAACTGATAAGGCTACTGGCACCTACATTAATTAGTAAAGAAAATCTGGCGGCAATAAATAATTTGAAGTGGTGAAAATAATTTAAAACTGATGAAATGGTTGTTAATATTTTAAAATTTTTCAGAGCGACCTCTGCATTAATATTAATAATAATAAATGATCTGCCAAATTTTTATCCAGCTATATTGGTGCAGATTGTTTAATATCATTAATGGATTGGGTTATGTATGTTATATATTAATATTAATGTGAATATACTTTGTTCAAAAACTGGGCAATAATGCAAACATCATTACTAAATCCAATATATTATAAAGCTACACACCAACCATGTTGAATATTATCGGGTTAGAAACAGCTATTATAATAATAATTTATAAGACAATTTGGCACTAGAGTTAGGTGTTAGATGCCATCTCTTGATAAATTTAATAATTATAATTTTAATTAAATAATTTAGAACTACTGGAAGAAAAGAATCGGCCTGGAGTGAGACTCAAATCTGCAACTGTCAATGGTTATAACTAGACAGCGGACATTTAGTCTCTTAAAAGTGGTGTTTTAGGTGCTTAAAATAGACTCTCAAATTGCCTCATTTAGGCTTTATAAAAAAATAGGTGGTCAAAATTTTTACTATGAACAATTAACATACTTACCGGGATGATGAATTATTTATTTAACATATGCATTCCAAACAAAAATGCATATATTCAGAATGATGCAAACACAAAAGTAGACAAACAATTATCTTTACATTTTTTATTCACTCTGTTTCCCATAGTTTGCTTCACAATATATTACAAGCACTTTTTCCAAATTTTCAATAGAAAAGGCTGAAATGATCAATATCCATTTTGTGTACCATTGAACAAATAGAAAGTCATATGAAATCCAAAGTTTTTGTAAAGATGTTCAACTAGGAATACCTTTACCATCAGCATCTTTGAGAAATAGGGACATTTTCAACAATTACCATTGATAAATGGAGAGCAAGAACTACACAAACACCAGATATGGAGGAGCAAGTTATTGCTAGAATTGGGGACAATCTTAATACAAATACAAGACTAAAAGCTAGAACAGTAGATACCACTCATTTCAGTGTATGGCATATTCTTTGTAAATACTAATTGTATGAAGGGAAAATCTTTATATCTAAAAAATAGAGATTAATTAAAAAATGAACTGTTTAATTAAAAAAATGTGATTACTAAACAAATTTAGTTATTGATGCATTATGTAGTTAGACTTAAAAGCAGAAATGATGTCACTACTGTTTGATGCTTAATAATTCACTAATAAGCTTCAGATCAAAGATGATCCTCAACTTTTTATTTAGGTTTTTTCCTCTGTAAACCTGAGAAATTTGGCTAAACATTTTTGAAACGCCATGTAAATGAGATTTTAATGATGCAAGAATTATTAGTATCATTTAGCATTTATGTTTGGTCATTTACAAATTTACTAAATATTTTATTTAAGATTGTTACTTACTAAATAATTGTAATAATTTTCAGTTCTGAATTCCAGTTGTTTATTTTTTATATAATAAAATGGAAGTGTTATGCTTTTTCTTCTGAATAAATTTTATTTTTATTTTGTAAATTTATCATGTAAATAATTGAGTTATAACATTTGTTGTTTTGAAATTAATTTTCATTATAAATAATGAAATTTTTAAAAATTTTTCAGGATATATTTGTATGTTTATTGAGGTCATTTCATGCAGCGCACAATTTAATACTTCAAGAAAATGGAATGCTGACTACACTTTGTGCAGCTGTTGTATGCCAATTGAAAAATTCAGATAAATATATTGTGTGCACATGCAATGTAGGAGATAGTCTTGCATATGTTTACAGTCAAAAATATGGAGTAAGAGAAATTACACAAGGTCAGTAAATATATAAAGCATAATTCTATGCACAAAACTTATATATGTAATGCATATTTTCCAGGTTTTCTTGATGTTATGAAATATTTCTTTAAGAGATCAAAATTAATTTATATCATACTCCACAAATTAGAATAATATAAAACTTTACAAAAAAATTTTTTCAATTTATAACATAAAATGCTAGATATTGTATGTAAAATACAACAATATATAAAAATTATTTAAGTCAAACATACTATAAACTGGATGTTAGATCCAATTTTATTTTGTTCAATATTTTAATAAAACATTTTTCCATTATTTATGCAAAATCATATTTTTTTATTATCTCTGTCTATTGAGTATCTGAAAAACCTGGAATGATAGAATAAATTTATTTTCAAACATTTGGCAGTGTTTTTAAAGATGCCCAAAACATTTCCTTTAATCTCTAGACATCTATGCAGATGAAGTTCTGTGTTTCTTTATATAAGCATATGGGAATTATTGTTTTTACTATCATATGTCAAGATATTGATTTCCAAGTGCTCTGTCAGATATAAAAAAGTTAATATATCATCTGTAAAGATGCCTGAAAATTGAAGGAAAATATATTGAGCATGTTGATTAATTTTTTTTATTTTTTTATTTACATTTAATTGGAAACGTCAGAGACGATTGTATTCCACCCCCAATAACAAAAAAAAATGATCCCCAGTAAAATGATTACAAAATATAAAAGATATAACAGACATAAAAAAAAAAATTATAAATAAAGTAAAACAACAGTTACGTTATATATTATATAAAATAGATTTACATTTATTTTAAAAAAAATTAAAATCCCGATATAGGTAAAGTTCAACAGGCTGTATGTGAGATGCTATACGGTAAAAAAAAGATCTTTGTGAAAGAGAGAGGCAAAAAAATGGGATGAAGAATCATGATGTATTACGGGTTCTTACAGTAGGGATGCGGAGACCTAGCCAGTAATTTAAGATTAGACCATTGAAGTATTTAAAGCAGAGAATGTGGTCAAAATATTTTAAGCGATCAGAAAGATTTGGAAGCCAAGGCAAACTCTTGCCACATCGTGGTTGTCAGTAAAGGGTAAATTGCAGAATTTGTGTATCAGAAAATAAACTTTATTTAATTCAGATTGTATTTTTTGAATCAGATAAGGGGCAGCCATAGCCCAGACTGGTAAACAATAATCGACTATTGATTGAAAATTAGTAAAGAAAATTGTTCTGAGTACGGTCTTTGAAGAGATATTTTTGCAAAAATGCCAGATAAAGCCACGTCTAATTGCAAGAGATTTAATAATGTAAGAGATATGATCATGGAATATTAATTTTTCATCAAATATGATACCAAGGTTACGATGAGACTGGACATAGTTTATTTTAGAAGAATCAATAAATATGGAAGAATGGTAGGGATTGCGAAGTAGAGAAAAATACATAATGACAGTTTTATGGATGTTGATTTTTAGATTATAACTGGCAAGATTAGAACATAAAGAATTGACAGTGATCTGAAGAGAGGAGGAGGGATCATTGGATAAAATTTTGATGTCATTGGCATAGGCAATTACTTTAGAGTGGGGGTTGATTAGTAATTTATCTATATAAGCTGAGAAAAAAAGCATGCTTAATACAGATCCTTGAGGTATGCCACAGATAAGAGAGAAAGGGAAAAATCAAAGTCACCAATGTGAATCTTACATAGTCTGGATAAATAGTAATTGTTTAACCAACGGTAAAGAGCAGGATCTAAATCAAAATAATCAATTAGAGTCTGAAGTAGTAATTTAAGAATGATAGAGTCAAAGGCTTGGGAAATGCCAATATAAGTTATGTACATGGATTTTTTGTTCTCAAAATTTTGCAAAATAGTATAAGTTGTTTCAAGAAGGTTAGTAGTAGTAGTACAAAGATTACGGATGCCACAGTGTTGATGAAGGGAGAATCTGGAGATAATTTGGGTATAGATTTTGTTATATAAGCAAATTTCAAAAATTTTTAACATGGCTGATAGAATAGTTATTGGTCTAAAGGAATTATCTTTTTTGGGGAGAACCTTTATATTAGAGATTAACCATTGATTTGGAATGTGACTAGAGTTTAATAAACTTGTGAAGAGTTTGGAGAGAACAACAGCGGATATTGCCTTTAACTTTTTAAAGAATTGAGTCTGGACTATAATTTGAGTTGTTTAGGTTATCTATGGCAGACTTAACATCAGAAAAAGAAATAAAGAATTTATGTTTGCATTGTTGAAAGGATAGGGAATGAAACTTAGCTTCAGGTAAAATGCAAAAATATCTAGATTTAATATTATTAAATATATCATATATTTTATCGTCTGAAATAGATTTTTGTGAGGAGGTTTTTTTTTTGAAAAGTTAGGAATGAAATGCCAGAAGTACAAGGATCAGCGGCAAAGTTAGACACAGTTCTGTTAAAATATTCTAGAAAAGCAATACAATGTTCCTGGTAATAATGTTGTTGCAATATTCTATGTAAGTATAAGTCACGAGGGTTATCATAACATTTCCATTTGCTCCATTGTTTTCTGACCATATTGGATAATTTCTTTAAGTGTAGAGGAAACCATCTATTGGCTGAAGAATTTATTTTATGGAATTGTAATAATTTTTTAATAGTGGCA